CCAACATTGGCTGTCATGCCTTCTGTTCAGTGAGCACAGCGGTGACCACAGACTGGGATTCACATCTTGGTTTGCCACTTAATAATTGTATAGTCGTTGTACCTCAACATCCTTATCTACAAAATGGGAAGGACTGCATTATTTGTGAGGATGAATTGCTATTACGTTTCTAAAGCATCACAGCATCTGGCATATCCTAGTTGCTCTATGAATTCCAGTGAGTAGAGTGAGGATCTTTTTTTTTTTTTTTTTTAAGAAAACTTCTTTCTCCATCTTATGTCATGGCTGGGATGAGAGACAAGGAGTAGCACTGATACTGAGCTGAGGTGGAGGAAGAGGCAGACATAGCATAAGAGTTCTCAGGAGGTGTCCTAAGAAGAGTGCTTGGAAGGATCTCAGTATCTTGTAGATATCTGACGCATCTTTGGAAAGCCTCCCTTCCCTTCATCTGGAGACCAGTGGAACTGATACATGAGGAAAACTCCAGAAGAGCCCAAAGGGAAGAAAGTAGGAGCTGAAGGAGACTGGGGGACCATGGGATGTAGAGTAGAGTAGAGGGGAAGTCCTACAACTGTGGGCCTGGTAGTCCAAGAATGAGTCAGCAGGTTGGGGAAGGTTTGTGGAATGCACAAGAGTGGAGGAGCTGCCCCAAACTTGACCTTTTTGTGAAATCTTCCTTGACCTGGACAAGCCTTCAACAACAAATGCCTTGTTGCAGGGACAGCAAATAAATCCACTCATTTACAGTGCACTCTAAAGATAAATTCAGCACTCAGACAGTAGTTACCTTTGCCTTACAAGTGTTGCCCTGTGGTACACTGAGCGCTGGCTGATGACTTTGATGTGTCCAGATTTAATTATTATGCAACCCATTAGCCCAAAGGCAGAGGATATTTAGTAAAAATGTCACCCTTGTATACAATTCATTCTGTGAAATCCATTGCTCAGAAAGGAATCCTATTTAGAAATGATTCAGAATAAGAAACCTTTACAGTTATGGAGCTCTGAATTTTTGTCCTTGGAACTGGACAGCTAAAAGCTGGGCAGAATATTTTTGGTATGTGTAAGCTTTTTCCACATAGGACAAGAAAGCCTTTACTTCATGGCTTTTGTGGAGAAAATGTTCAGTTCACTGCTCTCCTGTTTGAATCATTATGACCAAGTGGGAGAGAATGAGGATCTGTTCCAGTGGGAAATATTTAAATTAGGAGGGATTAAAAAATATCTACAATTATTTTGTATCATCTCCAAGGGAACCCACAGCCTCCTACAAAGGCTTTAATAATATTTTAGGAAATTTCCATCTAGAAGAGAAAAGACAATGGAATCCAAATATGGGTGTCCCAGTGCACACATATGGTGCTGTTAGGAGCCAAACTTCTAGCTTTTTTCTGCTTTGTGAAAGTTCTAGTAGATCTTGACATTCATTTTTTTGGGAGACAACCCTGGGACCTTCAATATGTTACTGAGCTGAAATGTAGGTCCAATGTTATGTCAGCTCACAATTCAGAATAAAACTTGCAACTTTTTAATTTTCCTAAATATTTACACATTACCCAGGGAGCAATGCCAGAAGCTGCAGGTCAGAGATTGGGTCTTGTTTTGGAACCTGGGGGTCCCAGGTGGGCCTAAACTTCTGGAGGCATCTCATATCTGCTAGTGATCCAGTTGGGATCCTTGTCAGTGTGTAGAATGTACCTGGATCCTAGAGCAATGATGCTCAATCCATCAAGAAATTGGTGGAGAAGGAACCTGGCCCACCAGCTTTGGTACCCGGGAGACATTCCAATGTATATTGGTGGTGCTCTGGGTAGAACTGAAGAGAGGCTGCATCTTTCCTTATCCATCTGGGAATGGTCCATCTAGGAGAAGGGTCCTTCTTGGATGAAAGTTGGGAAAGCAGAGAGCAAGGCCCAAGTACCTGTAATCTAGGAGGTGGAGTGTTTGATGGTTGGGTTCTGAAGTGGAGAAGTAGTATTTTCATACAGGCAACCCTCAGGAATCCTCCACGCTTTTGGCTGACACATGAAATAAGGTGGATTTGAACAAAGTGGACCCTATCCATGTGGCCGGATGCTGCCTGCTGCCTGCCTATGCATACTTTTTTCAGTTTTCTGTGGCTGTGGTGGAGAACTAGGGACACTCATGTTTTGAGCAGGCTCAAAGAGTTGGTTTAGGTAGAGTGTGTGGTTGGAGGCCTTTTGCTTTCTCCAGATTCCAAAGCTCCCTCTCTTCCCATGAAAGCTTGGTACATGGATAATGGAATACAGCCCTGGTTAAGAGAAGTGCATACTGTTTCAGCAGAGGATACCACATGCGAAATAGCCTCTAGGAGGAGATCACCTCTAGGTGTGAAAGGACTGGGTCTCTTGGAGATACAAGGACAGATAGATTCTCTTCTCTCCCTTTCCCATGTTTTCCTGACAACCCTGATTGTTTATTCTTCATCGGTAAAGGAAGCATGTGGGACAAAACAACTAATACCACATTGCAGCCTGAGGTGAATATAAGGGACACTGGGGAGGGTGCAGAGACTGAGGGACTAAGGGACTAAAGGGACTGAGGGACTCTGGAAGGGGAGATCTATCCCTATGTAAGACAGGTGGCCACAAGGGGACGTCTCGTGAGCCAATGTCAAAGCAACCATGTATGTCAACGAGTTCAGAAGAATAAATCCAAGAAAGGAAAGAAGGTACCCTGAGCCCATTGACCTACCTCCCATTTGCATATTCCCCAGTCATTTATGCTTTGGAAGAGATGACCTGCGTATGTAACAAAGGCTCTGTGTGTGGTCCCCACAGAGTACAACTCCTTTCTTTCATTATGAAAAGCATTATACCAATTAGCACTATACTGTTGGTTTTGTCAAGTCCTTGACAAGCGCTCTTAGCCACAAATTTACCCTCAACCAGACAGATTTTATAGGGAGGCTGAAGTTCTGAGTTCTTCTAGGTTCTGGTCACTGCATGGGAATCTCACCAATTGTTCAGGAACATGATTTCTCTTTTCTTTTTTTTAATTTCATGTCTTATTTTCCCTTCAAATCCTGGCTCTTGCTCTTACCTCACTTTTGGCCTCACTTTAAAGTTTTTGTATTTAAAGCTAACTCACTCTAAGCTCTTTTCTACACAGTAAACATGCATATACCACATCTTGCAAAAAGAGCTTCTGACTCACATATCTTGATTTCTCTAATTTTTTCTGAAGCTCAAGGGTGAGGAAAAGGGATCCCAGAGCACTGAATATTTCTTCCTGCTTGGAGGTGGACTCTGACCCCCAGCAGGCACAGCGGGACTTCTCCAGTTCTCTCTCAGCTCTGGCCACTGTCAGGATTCCTCTTACCACTCATTTAAGGAATTGTGTGTTGTTGGAAATCCTTCTGGTCAGTTTGGTCATCCCCATATTCACCATCACAGGGTTTTGAAAGGCAATGACAAAGTGAATAGCTTTCAAATTACATGGTTTAACGGTTAGAACTTTATTTAAGATAAAGGGCACAGTTCTTAGGACTAGAAGCCAATGGTGAGTCAATACAAGATTATAGTTAGCACATTAGTGACATACTGCTGTGCAGTAATATGACCACAAACTTAATACTCAAAACAATAAATATACACATTATTTCATAATTTCTGTGTCAGGCGTCTGGCATGGCTCAGCCAGGTCCCATGGCCCTCTGCTTACAAGTCTGATAAAAATGTTAGCTGGGACTGCAGAATGTGAGAATTGATTGGGTCAGGATTCAGTTTCAGATGCATGGGGATGTACTAGAATTCAGTTCATTGTGGCATACTGGCTTGAGGACTTCAGTTTCTTGCTGGCTATTGGCAGAGGCTCCCTTGAGTTCCTTGCCACACAGACCTCTCTAACATAGGCACTTGATTTTTGAAAAGAAACAAGGAAAAGAATTTCCTTGCAAGATAGGAGCACTGGGTGTGGTGCAAAAATAATGAATACTGTTACGCTGAAAAAATAAAAAATTTAAAAAAAGATAGACATTACAGTCTTGTGTAATGTAATCATACACATGCCACCATCTTTATCACATTACATTGGTTAGAAGCAAATCAGAGTTTCCACCCAGATGCAAGAGGAGGAGATCACACGAGGCGTCGGATACCAGGAGGACGGTATGATTATCAAGTAGATCATGGAGACCAAGCTAGAGTCTGTCTGCTACTTAGCAACACCTACAGACGAATAATACCCGTGGCCAGAATTAGAAGTAAATGTAGTGATCCTTGCACACTGATGCTTTGCTAAAGCAGTGGGGGAAACGGTGGAATGGTCGTATCACCTGATCCCCATCCAGTCAGGAATGGCCAACCTCCAATCCTGTTACTGTCCCCCTCTTTCCTCTGACAGTTACAGTCTTAAGTTGCACAAAAGATGGCATCTTCTGGGATCTGCAGGTACTTCTAGGATGGGCAACACTGACTAGAGAATCATCTGACTTTTCCATTCTTTTTTTTTTTGATATTCAAATAACTCAATTTTAATAAGATCCTCTACACACACACTTCCTACTGAAAACTGAAAGAGCACAACAAAAAAAATTTTATTACAATGTCAGAAAACCAGAGAATCTAGTGTATGTACCCACCCTAATTTTGCTCTAACCAAACCACCCAGAGTTTTCTTGTATTCCTTCTGCACAAGTTACTTGGCTTCCAATTTTTAATATTAGATCTTATCTTAATGACTTCAGGTCTCTCAAACACACAGGCAACTTTCAAAACCTATTAGTGCTTCCTTAGGTCAAATCAAAGGGTGCAAGTATACTGAAGTCATCCAAATGCAAACTACAGGATTCCTCACAAATTACTGGCATCACAGTAAAAAAAAAAAAAAAAAAAAAAAAAAAAGATTAAAATAACCCCTTATAATATCACAGATTATCAAAATATTAGTTTGCCCTAACATAGAGCAGCCTTCCAAGCTGCTGCAAAATGATCCTAAAATCACTAGCAGAAAGAAATAGTTCAAGAATAAAAGTCTGTTTACATTGGCTCCACGTCATAATTATTCTCCATGCTGGTTTCCTCAGCAAGATCTTTGTGATACAAGCAATAATGACAGCGACATCTGAATCTTTCCACTCTCATTTCACCATCCTCTGTTTCCTTCTGCTGTAGATCTTTCTGAAGCTGAGACCCCAGGTTTAGGTAGCGCTGGTACTGAATCATTCGAATCATCCTTGCCATCCTTTCCTTCCGGGCTGTTAACACGGTCCTCACTCCAGTCCTCCTCCCACTGCTGCTGAGGATACGCTCCACCAGCCCCTGTGGTTTCCTCTCTCTGCCTGGCTGCTGAGACGGATACTCTGGCAGAGGGGAAGGGAGGATGATACTAGAGTCTAGGGTCAATTTACCAAGGTTCTTGGTTAATACTTCGGAGATCGTTTGAGAGGCACCTGAGCTTTCCTGGGAATCCTCTTCATTGGGTGTCTGAGATGATCCCAGAGCCCAGGTTGGGTAAAGTTGCTCTGGCGAATCCATTGGAAGCCTAATGACAGACCGAGGCTCCTCCTAGATCTTTGGGGTCCGGTGGGAGGTGATGCTCAGGACCCAACTTGCTACAAAGTTGCCTGGCAAGAACTTAACAGCCCAGAAACAGGGAGAAAAACCCAAACTTCACCAAACGGCTGAGATGCAAGAGAAAAATCAATCCTGACTTTTCTATTCTTTCCTGGCCGGTAGACACAGAGTCCAGTTGGTGGCTTGTCTAAGGCATACACTTCTTATCTTTAAAGGACTAGCATGCTATATGTGCATGTCCCGATAGAATATAGGTATGTTAGAGGTGGATGGGTTTCTTTGAAGTTTCCCTCTCTGTCCTGTACATTCCTTATTTATTACAAGGGGCTCTCCTATTGTCATCTGTTTTCTTTTGCTGCCTGGTGGGCCTCTGCAGAAGTATTTCCTGCTCAAGTTCTCTCTTGGCCTCACTTTAAAATTTTTGTATTTAAAGCTAACTCACTCTAAGCTCTTTTCTACACAGTAAACATGCATACACCACATCTTGCAAATACAGTTTGTCCTTCTGACGCAAATCCCAGGATTGCATTTTGGACTACATGCCGGGTGTCTCTGGTTGGCTATCTTGGGTTGGATTTCTCCAGTGGCAGATGCTAAGACAAGGATTTGAGCATAACTAGTTTATTTGGGAGGTGATTCCAGGAAACCACCACAGGGAGTGGGGAGGGGAGATAGCAAAGGAAAGGAAGGTATTAAAGAGCACTCTGTCGCAGGTTACTGCTGTGTGTGGCTGGGGTTTAGCTCTGTTGGGTGATATGGTAGAACTGGCTTCCAGAGTTGTTGCCCTCAGTCCCACTACCAGGGTGAAGGAACTGGGATTTTTCAGTCACTGGTTGAGGACTGCCTCTGGGGTGCATTAAGTCTTTGGCATTTTGGGCCTGCTGCCTTGTGGTCCAAATGGGCTATAATGTGCAGAGATTACCTCTGGGAGAGAGTGGCTCTTGCTTGAAGTTGAAAGCCATTAGCTGGGGAATGCCTATCACAACTACTTAACTGATCTCAGTGTGGTCATCCTCGTTACCTCATTTCTTTTTGTGTTGACATAATTCCTCCTCTTATTACCTCTGTCTGTCAGACATCACCACTCCGCAGCCACTAGGACTTGAATTTACTGCGTTATCCCCATTGTTCCAGTGAGGAAGCTGAGGCTTGGAATGTTCACATGATTTGCCCATTGTCACATGGCTGCTTAGTGACAGACCTTTCCACCGCTGTCCATAGCAGGGTGTCCCAGGGATGAAAAGAGGCCGAGGCTACGTGGCTTGCACAAAGTCACTGACCTGATCTAAGGCAATAGGGGTCACATTCCAGTAGATTTCTCTCTGGGCTTTTTGTTTCTAAACTTCCTGTTTAGTTGCACCAGCTAGTTGTAGTACTAGTTTGCTGTAGTGATGTAGATGGTTTAATTATTCTCCTGCCACCAATTCTAATTAGTTCTAAAACTTATACAAAGTACATACACTCTCTACAGCTTATTTTTCTCATTCAGTGAATTTGGGGGATCCCTTGAACCCTAATAGTGTGAGACAAGAGATTTGATTTTTTTTTTTTTTTTTTTTGGGTAAGGATTTGTGCTTCAGGCCAGGTATGAAGGAAAAACTCCACCTTATTTATATTTAATATAGAGCATGGTTTGGGTAGCCTTTGTATGTCAAGCAGAAAATATGGTAGACCTTCTCAAAATATCCACAGGCATGTCCTTTGTCTTCTTGTGTGAAGACTTTAAAGTGTCACAGGAATAGCTACTGATGTGGCTAACTAGGGCCAAGAGCGGTAAAGACTGTGAAACATAATGTACTGGAGATAGCATCTCTGGGAGGAACACACAACTGCATTCTTCTGTTCTTGCGTGAGTCCCTGCAGGTTGTCAGCAATCTGAGGGCAACATCTTTTCTTAGGGCAAGCTAAGATATTCACTGTTTCCCCAGAGTGGGTATCAAATTATCTGGAGTGTAAGGAATACACAATGGCAGAGATTTTATTTCTAATGAGCAGAGACTGGAAACACATTTGGAAGTCTACCATGATGTTTCTTTTCCTACCTCAATCTAGTGATCTCATTGGGTTGAATTCTCTGTGGTTTGGCACTAAAGTCTTTTCATTCCCATCTTCATCTTTCCAATTTGCTGACCCATTTTATGGTCTACATCTCTCCTTCTAAGTTCTTGCTCCTTTTCATCATCTTGATTTCTCATCTTGTATTCAACCTGTTGCAAGCCCCCTCCAGTCTTTTTCTCCACTTAGTTTTATAAAACCGAGTAGTACGTGTGGCAACTAGGGGCTTGGAATGAAGAGAGACTGACAAACCTCTCCAAGCCACGCTAAGTGGTTTTCCTTTAAGGCTTCTATGCTCTTCCTAAATATCTGATAATAAATGGAAGAAAATCTTTGTAGAGCAGTTAGGGAAACTGAGGTGCCAATGATACAATTGACTCAGTTGGGGGTTTATGACATTGGTGACCAAAAGAACAAACTTCAAGTCATTTGATTTTTATTGTCATCTTTGATCCTCTAAGGTGACTCTTCCCTCTAGAGCAGAGGTCAGCAGTTTACAACCCATGGGCCAATTTCTGCTCACCACTCGTTTTTGCGATTAATGTTTTATCAGCATACAGATACACCCACTGGTTTACATATCAACTATGCCGGCATTCCTGTTAGAGCAGCCATGGTCAGTCACTGCAACAGAGATCTTCTGAGCTGCAAAGCCTAAAATATTTACTTTTTGGTCCTTTGTAGAAAAGGTTGGCTGACACCAGAAGGTGAGGATAGCTTTGAATTTTTTGGGCTTGATATTTCTCATAATTGACTCAAGAAATATGGTCCAAAGTCTAACTGAAGCTTCAGAGACCTTCAAAAAATTCATCTATTAGCAACTGTTTTCCATTATTGTATCATTCAGGGTTCTCCAGAGGAACAGAAGCCATAGATGTAGCATCTTCTTCTTAGTCCAGACAGGAGCAGTAAGATAACTTGGACCATTGCGGGATTGGGAGATCTAGACTCTGTGATGGTTTGTGCTCCAAGGAACCAAGTCCAGAAGCAAGGCTGTTATTGTGATCCCAGAAGTGATGACACATCAGTCCTCACCTAGTCTGAGTGAAGGACGTAGATCCCAGGCAGGGTCAGCTCCATAATTCATGAACCTCATGTAGATGAACCTGCTGGCCATTGTTTAAACAACAAACAAAACACACACACAAAAAACAACAAACCTGTGAAGAATTTCAAGATGGCAAAAACAGAGTTAAAACAAGCACAGGGCCCATGACACAGGGCCCAGAGCAAATGCCCAGGCCGCATGCCCAGGAGGCCAGCCCTGAGCCTCGGACTTTGGAGCTCAAAGAGACATCAGAGGCCACCTATTCATAGTTTATGACAGTTGCACGTTGAAAACTGGCCACGCCACACTTCTCTGCTGATGACCTGGAGTGGGAGTACAGCCCACTTTGGCAGCTGTGGAGAGGGGCCCCACCAGGATTGCATGCTTCTCAGTTTTGGCCTGAGTTGCTGGATTGCACACTTTCTGGATCTGAAGAGCATATCTGGTTCCACAGCTGCATGGCTCCAGCCTCCTCACCAGCTCTCCCAGTACCTGGCTGTTATTTTTAGGTGACTGATTGTGGAGAGGTTTGACTTGTAATTTTCATGCCTGAGGCTTGAGTTTCACAGGAAATGTTTCAGAGAATTTAATACAATACAACACATACACGTTAACAAGGGCAGATTGATTGTGTTCTTGTTGCCTGACCATTAGGAATTTCTATTCTTAGTCTTTTTCTCTTTTCACTGCTCCTTCCTGACTCTCTTCCTCCACCTCCAGAGTTCCTCATTGTGCCAGTTCCCGAGCCCTTCACTGTCACACAGATTTCCTTTCCCTCCCCTGCTGCCAACCCCACTGGTTCTCCACGATGAATGAAGTTGTGTGGTTGCCAACTTCCTCCCAATCTTTTCCAGACTCCTTTCTCCTTTATTCTTTGCTCTGATCAGATTATCCTCTTACTTTCCAGACCTTGAATCTAAGGACTGACTTCCTCCCTCTGTCCCCTTGAACTCATTACACCATGCAGCTCAGACTTAACCTTGGCTCCTGCCTTCCCTGCCTCGGTGGTTTTCCCAACCTTCTGTTCAGTCTTCCATCTTCATTAGATTTGCTCAAGTGTCAGGAAATAATGGACTGGCCAGTCTGAATGCCTTAGCTCCTTCATTTTTGTCTGAGTGGTAATCACCCTCCGATCCTTTAGGATCTCATTTAGTTTATATGTCAAACCCTTCCGTACTTCTTGAGGGGAGAATCATCTGCTCTACACTCCCTGCCTCAGGTTAAAAAGAGAAACTGAGCTCATGGTATATGCATGATCTGTCTGCATTGGGAGGTCCAGTGAGGAAGAATGGAAGTTAAACCAAGTAGTGGTGTAGACACAATGTGGTACTATTAGTTGAGGTCAACTTGGTCATGGTATTAGGTGGCTTCAGGGTGGGCAGGTGCACAACTCATAGAGAATGCACCATTGAACAAGCTGTCCTTTGCTCAGAACAACAATGTATATCTATAGTCATTGACAATGCATCAAATGCCTGAATTTGTTTCATATCCTCTTGAGTTATGAACACTCGTGAGAACTGTGCTTGTGATCAGAAGCCACTTGACCGTAGTTGCTACAATTCAGCTCTCAGAAATGTGGGAATTGGGCTTAAACATTTAGTTTGATATTTGGTTCTATATACCTTTTGTGCTAGACTATAGCCTTTATTTTCTTTCTATCCTTTTCTCTCTCTCTCATCCAATTCATTAATAGATGGACCAATTATTTCTTCATAAAGAAAGAATATGTTTTTATTTCAGGCTTATTAACTATCTTCCAGCCATGATTTTCATCACCTCCTAGGTGTATGGACAGTGGGTAGTGAGTAACTGATTATTTTTTTTTTAAGATTTTATTTATTTATTTGATAGACAG